CCGTACAGCGAATCAACTCGTTCTCAACCGTTTCCAATAGTGACCTTGTGACGACTCCCAGTGGTAAGATAGAAGAGCAACACACCACAGCTGTTATTTTTCGAAAACTTCGAGTTAAACATAAATATTTGCGGCAACGACAGTAACCATAGAAATAGTTTCAAACAACAAAGCTGGTTGCAATGAAATAAATCCTCCAGCCTAGAAATGAATTTAGATCCATGCCACTAAACCTTTTCAGCCACATCATATTTAGGCCTGATTATAGGACGAGTGGCAGGAAATGCATTGTTGGGAATCTAGCTCACATATACGATAAACAGGAGTTCTTGGTTACACTAGTGTAAAGTGTTAAAAGTCAGGTAAAATAAAATACCTTGTATAGAATATTACGTCCCTCAGCGGCGACCCGACATAGGGTGTCCTCGGTTGATCTGAGGTCAGGTGACACAAGGACTCTAAGGTCTTTCTCCGAAATGGCATTTATGAGCAAGAAACCACCATAACAGCACGCTCCAGATGGTTCAGGAACATCAACAAGAAGAGCAAATTCTTTGTCATGAGGACAATGAAAGTGCCTCTTTATCGACCAGCGTGGAGCATGTCCAGATTCACTACTAAGTTGTCAGCAATTTTTAGACTATGCCACTATCCCCAAATTTAGGCCATCCGTACGGATTAAGCAGCCCTCTGCATTTTAGAAAGCAGATCGTCAAAAAAGATATTGTAATGTTCAGTGCCGATGATGAAACCCTGTTGGATGTAACTAGTACTGAATACAGTAAAGAAATCCAAATTTAACTACTTTCACCACAATGGCAAGACCGTCCAAACAATCAGAAATTCAAGCAAGAAAGCCGCTGAACCAATGAACTAATGAACCATTGAATTGTAGGAAGCAAAAGTGAGAAGCTTTGGCAGTTTCATCGCATCCCGATCAGAGAACGAAAGATGCGTGACGTTGAGAAACGGCATTCACAGTGGACCGTTACAGCTGCAACGAAAGCAAGACAATCCCGGTATACGCATTAAATGGAGGTCCAACAGCCTCTTAAAACTTCCTCACTAGTCGCGTTGACAACAGGCTCCAGCAGAGAGTTCCAGTTATTCACCCCGAGTAGATAGAGTGACGACCGGACGCATACGGAGACTCCTCGGCTTAAACAAATTTCAGCTATACCCGCGTCGAGATTTCTGTGCTCAAATAACAGAATTGATGCAACGTTACCTCAGTCCTTTTCTAAGAGTACGGCTGGTGTAAAGCAGATCTCCCGGCGACGACGATAAGCCAAAGAAAATAGATTCATCTGTTGTAAATGATCAGGGTAGGAGGTAACGCTGAGACCGACTTGGAACCATGCCACTGTGTTCTTTCAAGCATGTTGCATTCAAACTTCTTGAGCGGGTAAACAACCGGTAAGCCATACTCAAGAATAGGCCTCACGTGCAAGACAAACAGGAGTTTGAAGATGTCCTGGGACAATTGAGAGAAAGATCGTCTTATAGCGCTGAACATCCTATTGGCTACACCGACTTTCTTTAAAGGATGCCGGGTGGTCTTAAGATAGGGAGACACAATAGTGCCTAGGTCTTTCGCCAGTGTGGCATTCGTCAGCAGACAACCGACATGGTATATGCCGAATGGTTCAGGGGTACCGAGTAAAAGGACGTAACACATGTCATGGTTAATGGGCAAATCCCAGGTAATGGACCATTAAAGGTGTTAAGTGTCGACTGTAAGCTGTCGACATCGAGGACATAAACCTCTAACCATAGTTTCAGAACATCAGCATAGATTAGACACTCCACCTGAAGTACAGAGGGAAGGTCGTTGATGAAGATTTTGAACAATTCAGGACCAATGACTGAACCCTGAGGTACATCACTGGTCTGGTCAATATCAAATCCTCTGAGTTTAAATGAAACTCATGCATTAGAAACCTAAGTTTGCCAAGACTAACAAGCAAAATAAAATGCACTTTGCGGAGCCTAACAGCTTTTCTTATATTCACCTAACAACGAGAAAGTTTGAAGCTTATGAGTGTGTCCTAAGAAATTTGTAATGGATTTATAAGATAAAATTAAGTTTATTAAGATAGAGATAAACAGCGCGTTTCAGGATGTGGTCCATGACCTCGCACACTAGTACCGTCGAAGAGAGAATACGACAACTAGCAGAATCTTTTCGACTCTCTCTTAGTGACTGTAGTTAATAATGTCAATCTTCCAGACAGCCGAAAGATACGTAGTTTTATCAAGGTGAAAAAGAAACTAGTGGGCAGGTGCATTAATGTATCAGGTTCCTTTGAGTAACAAGGGCTAAAATTCACTAGAAAAGAGAGAAGTGTACATATCTATATTAGAAAAGTTTAATTACTACAACGGTATGCGTATCCGCTTGATATAAGTATGAAGAGTAAATACAGCAACATAACAAAACGATGTTGCTTTCGAATAAAGAGAAGCGCACTGCTTAACAATGACACTGGGTTTTTTGCGTCCACGGAAAGTAGAGAATGCAGGCGGGAAGGCAAGGCATAAATATCACTGCGAGTTTTGGTATTTCCTTTCGGACACAAAAGTGGCATTCTGGGCATGGACATGGAGTGTTTCGTTAATGACAATTCGTATCATAGATGTTTCTATCGCTTTGTTATAAAAAGATTTTTGACCGTCTCGTACTAAGAGTAACCGAGCTCTGATTATGTGACCTTGAACGGTACCGTAATTTGCGCCTCTTGCTCGTTAAAACGCCTAATTCGCAAGTAATTTAAGATGGTTTGCTGGTAAATAGCCTTTTATAATATGTAATAACTACCTGTTCAATGAGCGAAGTCATTTTATAGTGCAAAAGGTTTAATGGGTTGCCAGGAGGAATTTGTTAAGAAATATTCAAATCTACAACGCCTGTATTAGTGTATAGATGCTGTAAATCAGAGCACCAGAAGCAACGACAGTAACTATACAGGCAGGGAACAGTAAGGTGGCATGTTAATCAAAGTGATACAACACAACGATTACTTCTGCCGATGAAGAGAAAATTTTAAGTTCCATGATATCTATTTGTGCAGTGGAGCACAAGAAATCAAGGATTTACGGTGTCCGATCTGAGAAAGTATGAGTAACCATCTTGATAAGCTGAATTAAGTTGCATGGAAAACGGTTTTCATTAAGTGGCACCAAAGGAATAGGTCCCAGGCGACACAAAAACAATGGAACCCTTACAATTTGACAGTCTTTGCTTGCACCGCGCAAACTAATCGAATCCAGTCGGTAAGTTTGAAATGATTTCGCCATGCAGACGTCACCGGCAAAGTAAGGGCTGTATCCCTCGTAAATACCGCGACAGAATGATACAAAATTTCAATCATTGACATTAATAGGTTTGGCTAAATGCGCATGGAGATCAGCCTTCCAGAAAACATTATGCAGCCACCGAACATCCCTCCATAGCGATTGGACTAGATGATATTTAGAAAAAAGTACTTCCGGATCCATGATGCTCGAGCATAGCCAAGTTTTGCGAAGGCCATCAGCACCAAACAAGCCTATAAGGTATGCAACTAAACTTTATTCATCTTATTCGTTAGACTGCGCAAATTAGAGGATAGCAAGTTTAGTCCGAATTTTTACCCTACTAGTCGGAATTGACGATTATTGGCCAACGACATGTTTGTGATGTTTTTTATGCAAAGTAATAATTTCACTACTGTAACAGGATATTCAGAGCATTACAACAAAACATTTCTATTTTACTCCATTCTCCGAAAAATAGTACTGCAGCTTGTAAACAAATTCATCTTTTAGACGCGTAACCCGTTAAAGTACGCGTCTACATATTTCCTTGTTTCGACCCAACATTGAAAAAAGTGAACCTTGAAAGATTCTTCTTGCTACCTGTCGAGGTAAAAGACCACCTTCATCAAGTAGCAAAACGATCAATGGCTTAAAAATAGTCAGTAAACATTTGTTCCGCTGAGGCGGAATTGTACTATACAGGAGGGTTAGTGATGAGAAGTCTACGATAACCATTATGTGATGTTGTGATCTCAAAATTTAACTCGCGGGATATTGGTTTTTCTTGACCACTAGTCTATTTGGATAAGACTGTGGCGAACTAGTTTGATATGTGATTACGTGGATAAAGTTTTAGGTCCAGATTCATACCCGGGCTTAGGTTTTGACCGAATGCTATTTGTATTCAAGCTTAGACCACCTCAGTTTAAGTCACGTATTTCTTTGCAACCACTTAATAATGTTTGATCACTGGCTCACGGCACCACACGACGTTCGGTGGATCCAATTGAGAAGTAAACAGTGTTCAGACTCGCTTTTCCATGGAAAATCTAATCTGGTAGATAATAAAGACGGCAGGCAAAGGAACAGAAATGAGAGATGTTGGCACTGTGCGCCTTAAACCTCGTGGGAAAATGTTTAGAGAGCAGGGAGGGAACTCGCTAACTGCTCAGTAGAACAAGGTGTATCAAATACAATCAATGGCTGGGGGGATTTTTACCTAGAAAAGCTTATATAGGTAAGGACCAATACCAAGGCAATAAATGTGCGTCTACCATTCACATTCAGGACAATGCATGACGTTTAAACGAGAGGTGACACATTTAACAGGGCAAGCTTTGCTTGTCCAAATACATAGACAACATGGCTAAACGCGGACCTGGAACTCTGATCAGGGTTTGTAGTGTACCAAGAGAAAAAACAACAAACGCTAGATTTTAATGTACTTATTAACCCGAAATGCTCTTCTTACAAATTGTATCCTGAGCGAAAGCACACTCAGAAACGCAAGAGTCGATGGGATGACCTTGAGGCGGACGTAACGCAAACATAGTGATGTGGCATATAACGCAACAGAAACTTCATTAAACGAAACAACCAACCACCATTACAGTAAGATACGTGGTAAAACTAAATCCGAATTCTTTAAACAATAGAAATAGCACACAATATTATGTGTGGAGAAAACAATCTCAACAACTTACCAGTCAATTCCTTCTCTTGCAGTCCAAACGTTATCGCATTTTTCACTGATCTTATAGAGTGTTTGTAGATCAGCTGCTTTAACAGGCCCTGTGTCAAAAATTTTATCACGGACAGGTTCTTTCTCGGGTATTGGGAGCAAATGCGAAAGTAACGTGGCAAGGAACTCATAATCCTCAACTACAGTTGTAATACATTTGCTTCGGTGAGCAATTCGCATTAATTCTTGATGACTTTCCATGCCATCCTATATTTGCTAGCTTTCATCGGACAGGTCTGAGAGGTGCGGGGAAACACATACCAATTGGGAAAAAGTAACTCGGTTAAGGTTACAATGTAGAATATTAAAACAGAGGTTTTCCGTGCAACGCAAGTACATGTTTCAAATATAGAAACAGCGTAAAAAGTTAATTTCCTTTTATGTTAATTTTAATTTTATGGATACTACGGTTGTTATAGATATTCGTTGAATCGTAGATTGCGGACGGGGAATGTGTAGACAGGTCAAGTTCAAGTTCAAGTTGGACAGGAACGGTAGGAGAATTCCCATGTGTGTTCCTTTTTCAATGCGTCGTTGAACCAGGATGGAGTTCACGGGAGCGATTTGAAGCCGAGAGGAGCCAAATCAATACACACGAATCACATAACGGTCAACCTATCCACGCCCACGCAGCTTGCACTAGCAGTCCCCACTGTACCGGCCACGTGAATAGAATAAAGGTTAAGAGAAGGAAACCAACAAAAACAAAATAATGATAATTGTAGTACAGGAGAGAATGTGTGGTTAAGACAATAATAGTAATTGATGTGAGAAGCCAAGGAAATAGATGTAGATGTTAAGAACAAGTTCAAGTTCCATCGGGACTGCAACGATAGGATGATCCCGTGAGTGTTCCTTCTTCGGCGGGTCGTTGAACCAGGAGTTGGCGAACTTTGAATTACTGATGGACCTAAAACGGAGACCGCATCACACCCTTTCCAACCAATTAATGCCCACGTATCCTGCCCCAGCAGTACCTGCTGGGTCGGTTACGTGAAAAAAGAGAAAAAGTAAACGCAGGAGGCAAAAGAGAAAGTGGTAAGAGCTAAACAAGTGGAATACCAAGATATTTGAGTCAATGAAAAAAGAACTGTAAAGTGAAGGAGTCGGCTAGGAAAAAGGAAATTTTTGCGGTTGCCACCCAAGAGCATCAGAATCAGAATCAGAATCAATTTATTAGGAGAATAAGATAGGAATCTATGTGATCTCCATCATAAGTAAAGCAAAAATGACCCATGCCGAATATGGGTCTGTGTGAATGCACATCAATAGTCGTTTAGTAATAAGCAAACAAAATACCGATATATAAGCACAAAGAAAGCACTACGTGTCTTGGTCTTTTAGGGTTGCTAGTGTAGCCGTGACATAACCACGCGACGAAAGGAGGTCAAACATGGCGTCTGCATCGAAACACAAGTCTGAAAAATGTTTGTCAATGCTTCGTTTGAAACACTGCACTGAATCAGATAGAACAACGGAACTGGTCAACCAGTTCCAGAATGTAACGCCCAAAAAGATAACTCTTATCTTTCGTGTACAATTTACTTGTTGACCGATTGTACATTACTCCTTCTTGTTTTAATCTTACAACCGGCTCGATACACAACTGCCTTGTAAGTTCCCGCGCTCACGTGTACGCTCTTGCCTCGCTTCATCCGTCCGTTTCTTGTTGTAGTCCCGTCGAATACAGTCTTTTAGATTGAATTAGACGATGGAAAAACAGTGTTTGAATCAAACACTTGAAACGAGATTTGACTATTGTCAAATTTCCTCTGATTCAAGATATCTTTGAGCTATTAAAACGGTTCTGGTCAAAGCGTCTTTGGCGCATCCTGGTAATTTCTCCCAGTTTTTACCCCGTTTTGCACCCCGTTTTTTGCCTTTTTATTTTGGTCGCTTAAGTATTGCATACGTGTTATAATCACTCTGTTTTCCACTATGTCGGTCTCGCAATGCACCGAGGCTGTTGTTCCTGAGGCTCGGATTCTGAGGTTATCCGCACTTTGTGGCGGACCG